CTTGGACGCAGTCCTGTGCCACGTGCTCTAGGTGACCCTGTGTGTGCAGGGGGGTTGGACTAGATGACCTCTAGAGGTCCCTTCCAACCTTAAGCATTCTATGATTCTATCATTGCAAGGGTTTATTTTTATTTATTTATTTTTATTAGTGCAGACCTAAATGTCCAATCCCTGACCCTCTAACAGATATTGAAATACAGCTGACAAATCCAGGATGGAAATATGCTACCCAAAATAATTTCATACTAAACCACCTGACAGTAATAGCACCCATTTTTACCATCTGCATTATTTCCTCCTAAGGATGCAACAAAGCAGAAATTAGAGATGGCAAGGATTTATGTTCAGTCCTCTACACTAATGCTAACACTAACAGCAGATCTCTAGAAGTAGCTTTTTGGGCACTTAATCCATTTAATTTTTAGTCTCTGGACATGGTATTTGTGTTGCATGTGTTAGACATCCTGTTTCTAGTTGATCCCTGCTGAGTTTCCTCAGTATCCCTGCACAGCTGCTGGAAGAGCAGAATGTCCAGGATTTGCTCAAGTGTCACTGGTTAAACACAGCTACGAAAGTTTAAAGGCTCTTGAAAATGTAAAGTGTAGCAGAGCAGTGTTTTGGCATGGGATACCTCACAGGTTGCAAGTGCCAGCTTCTCAGATGGCTTCTGGAGTTCTGACGCTTGTGTGAATAAAGAAATGTTTTCTTTGTGTTTTAACCCTGGTGCACATTCAGATGAAAACGTTCATTTTGGCTTTTCCCACCTTCTACATTCCTATTTAGCAAACCTCCATAACTATCTCTCAATGCAGTTTCAAAAGAAGAGGGAGAGGGGATGCATTGCAAACTGCAGGGTTCTTTAATGTTTATCCTGAAACAGGTGGGAAATGCACTTGCAAAGAAATAGAGCTTCTCAGAATTTGCTGCAAGGCAGCAGCTTCTCTGTTCTGTTTCCCTTTGGAGTTGCATGAACCTGAGCTGAAGGTTGCAGCAAGGAGCTAAGAGACTGATTTAACTCAATACCATGCTCAGTAAGAAAGTCGATCTCCCTGGGAAAAGAGAGGAGCAATTGCTTGGAATGACGCAGTGAAAGGAAGCACCTAATCCTGGAGCAAAGCACCAGGTATTCCCTATGGGCAGCCAGCTGTGGCATTTTTCCACATTTGCATGTAGAACATCACCTAAAGTCGCAATCTGCAATGAAAGAGTGACTTCTAGCTAACTTTGAGTGCCATTTCTCCCTCCTTTCCCCAAGACAGCTGCTTATGGGAATATAGCAGAGCTCTGCCTCTCTTCTCTATAGTGTCTTTCTCCTGCTCATTTATATCTCAAATATTTATACTGCCTTTGGCTCCTTCAAGAGAATTGTGTAATTAAACTCTTTTTTTTTTTTTTTTGGTCAGGTTAAGACATTTAAAAAGTCGTTATCTTGTGGGATGAGGCTCAGGTGTCTGGAGTGTGCAGATAACAAAGGGTGGGCAGCTCAAGAGACAGGGAGTAGGGAACAGTGTTTTTCCATCATAGGGTTTCTCCATTCTCTCCATTTAGCGCATATGAAACAGCAGAGCAAGAGTGTGAGATGACTGGGAAGCAGACGGAGAAATGTGCTGGGGAAAATCGGCTCTGCGGTCAGACAGATGATCTCTGGTGTCCACACAGTCTGCCCAGGGTTCATATTGGAGAAATATTCATATAAATATGTATAAATACAATAAACCATGTGAATGTAAATATATTTATAAATATATACATTCTAAAATATGCATAAAGTATAGAATTCAGTTTGGGTAAATAGAATCAATAGTGCTGGTAACTGGTGGAAATCATGTTTCATCAAGTGGTATCTACCCATTTTTCTGCTTTGGTTGAATAGGTTCACAGTTTTGTTGGGTGTAGAAGCATTTCTGGATGCCAATGCACTAGTAGCTGCCAGATGAGTGCTGGCAGGGATATTTGTGCTCTCTTAGCACAGGTTTGGCATCGGTTCCTTGTGCGTCTATCCTGCAAACCAGGCTGAGATGCTGTTTTGTGACATGCATAGACCTCTGTGCAGATGTTGCACTAGGGAAGTGTGTGTGTGTGTGTGCCAGAGTCCTCAGATGTTTCAAGAGGTAAATCTGAATTTTGGGCTTCTTGTAGTGCTGCTAGGGAATTTGATAAACTTGTTGGACTAATTAGGAATGTACTTAGAACAGTTGCAAGTTATGGGCCCTTTTGAAGTAGGCTTTTCAGTAGATGCTGTCCCAAAATGTGCCCAGCCAGGTGTTGAGTTAGCCATGAAGCAGGACATGTGAGGCAGGTTATTTGTTCTCTTGGGGAGATTCAGCTGGGAGATGTGTCCCTCCTTTATGCCTGTGCAGCAAAAGATTCATCTGTGAAAGATGTATTTTCTGGCTCTTTTTTTTTTTTTTTTTCCTGGCTGGGAAAGTGGGAGCGGGCAAGAAAGCCCCAAGGAGTCTTTGCAGTGACTTTGACACTGGGACAAGTGTGAGCACAAGTTTGTGATATTTGCTCTGTGTAACTTCCCGAGTAGACCTGTGGGATCAGAGTGCCCTGCATGAACAGGGTGGTTTATCACAGCCCAAGCAGGAATCTCCCCTTCCGAGTTCAAAACTTTTTATTTTGGCATCCATATATTTGGAGATAGAGCTCGCATGAGCTAGGGGTTAGGTCCATCTGATGGTCAAATCTCACCTCTTGTGCTCATTCCTCCTTATGCCATGGGTGGGTTCATTAATATTATAGAGTAAAATCTTGCCTTTTCCTAGAGAGACGTTAATGTCTGTCTGAAGATCGTTCCATGTCCATCAGGGAGTGCAGTGGGGTGAAGTGGTGATCTTGCTACAGCATCACTGGATATAGAGGAATTACAGGATCAAATTCATTTTTTATCCACCCCCCTCCTTTTTTTAATGACAGATGATATAAAGTGCCTGAAGATGCTCTGGCAGTGATGGTGTTTGTTCAGCTTGGAGCACACCGTCTGTCCAGATGCCAGATCAGCTATTCCCTTCACACCTCTGCTGCAATATAGCATGCTATTTATAATTTGTAAGTGTTGGTAATTATACCACTGTTTGTCTATGGAAATGAGGCTTATGCAGCTGTGCCATCCGCACCCTACTTAAATTGCACATTTGTTTCAGAAATGGTGATTTGCTTCAGCCAAAGCCCATGTGAAGGCAGATATCCTGAATGAGTGGGATCAGAGGAGAAAAATGCGGAAAGAGTCAAAAGACAAGGCGGGGGAGAAGCACCCAGATTTGGGGGGAAAAGCTTGTGCTGTTGCAGACACTGGGAAGACCCAACCTCAAATCAGTTGCCAGTTAGTTTACCTCGCTTGTGTCTCAGGTTTTGGTGTTTTAATAGTGGGACCTGTGGGTTGTTGCTCCATCCCAATTTTGGCATTGCCAGCCTTGGTCCAGGTTCTGCCTGGGCTGTTTTAGCTGTCAAACTTCATCCAGCCTGTCTTCTACCACTGTGCTAAAGAAAACCAGAGATTTGGCCAGCTGGACAAAAATGGCCACACTCATGCATCGCTATCCCAGAAAAGGAGGTTGTCGAAAAGCCGAAGCGGGGATTCAGAGAGCTGTAACTCACCTAACTGGAAGTGAGCCAGGAGAAAGCGATGCATAAAATCAGTTCTCGTGGCTTCTCTGATGAAGAGCATGAAGGGGTTAAATGTCCTGGGATTTTTGTGGCAATCCCTTGATTGGGAAGGAACTAGGATGGAGAAGAAACAGATGTGTTCAGGCTCTCTAATTGCTTTGCGCTTAAAAATAGCAGCAGCAAGTAAGAATTCTCCCATGTGACACTTCTGTGGCATTATTATTAAATGGTAACAGGCTCCCGATTGCAGCTGGATAGGAACTGAGGTGCAGGAAGATGCAGAAATCGTTTCTGGCCTGGATCGATAGCAAAATCCCTGTGTTGGCATGAACTGCGTGGTCACCTGTGTTCATGGAGTTATGTTGGGGATGTAATAGGAACAGGCCAGTTTATCTAAGTGAGGTCACGGCTTGGTGTTTTACAGAGGCAAGAACTGGAGTCTGAGAACAAGAAGCTGAAAAATGAGCTGAACGAGCTGAGGAAAGCTATTGCAGAGTGGGTGACCCAGAACAACTACTCCAACGATATCCAGGACAGCTACAGGCTCTTGCTGAACCAGCTGAAGTCGGCCAACGAAGAGCTGGAAGTGTGGAAAGAAGAGGTCCTTATCCTGAGGACACAGATTTTGAAGGCGGCCCAGCAAAAAGAGACAGGCAAAAATATGGTAATTGAGAGTATCTCTTCTTTTCTCCTCCTTTGCTAGACAGTCACTATCTGCCTGAGTGATAAATAATGTTTCTGCTTTGGGAGGGCCTGGGCATCAAAATAGATTGGGGATGTAGGAGGACCATCCTCTGGATAAGCTATGGTCCATGACTTCATCTCAGACAGCCCAGGACCACGTGTCCCTTGGTGTCTGTAGTGCTAGAAGGTGTTTGACACCACTGACAAAGCATAGTAAGCCCAAAGAAAAAAATTATCATCTCAGGTGTAGCTGTCTGAGGTAGATCCCATGGTTGTCCCCATCAAGGTAGGGTTGTCTAAGATGGTCCAGGTGTTGTTTTGTGGTAACTGCCTTATTCTGCAAGAAAGTGTGGTGATCAAATCAGGTGAAATGTCTCTGCTGGGATGGAGACAACAAGAGAGCTTCACCCATTTCATTTTCTTGAGGGCTTTTTTTTTTTTTTTTTTTTTTTTTGCTTAGAGAGGCTATTCTTACCAAAAGATGTATTTTCCAAAATTCCCACTTGGGTTTCTTAATTATCAGCACTACCTTTCTTCAAGGTTTTAGTGTGTTTAATATTTTGGACCACAAACCACCCTTATCTCTGTCCTAGGCTCACTGCACCCATCCTCCAGCTGCCCACCTCTGCCCTGTCTTTCCGCAAGTGTATGAACCCCTAAAAACTTGGCAGCCTGGTTGGTGCCCCGAGGAGGCTCTGTTGAGTCTGGCTGGGAGGTGTTTAATGTCCAGAGCTTGGAAAGACATGGAGAAATGTGCTGGAGTTTACACTGCTGTTTTTGCATGTTGTATTTAGGAAACAAGCATCAACACCCATGCCAGCTGGCCCAACAGTGACAAGCACGTGGCTCAAGAGGATGCAATCGAGGCTTACCAAGGGATATGCGAGATGAACCGGTAAGTGTGACCCAGAGCAGGGGATGGGGCTGACCAAATCATGATAGATGGGATGTCATCCAAAATTAAAATAGATATTGAGGACCATTACTAGCTTCTGGAGTCTGTTCAGGACCTTGTCTTGAGGATGGGCAGTGAAGCTGAGGCCAAGGTCCACATCTCATCATGAGTTGCGATGCCCTTGTCCTTGGGCCTGTTTCACCAAGGCAGGCGAGGTCCTGGACAGGCTGAAACACCAACACTACCATGAACAAAACTGGAAGGTGGATTATTATATTTGTGGGTATAAATTAACGTTCCCTCCCCACTCTAGCACAAATTTGCAGTATGCACATAGGAAGCTTCTGTACCTGAAAGTTGCGGTGTGAGAAATAAAACTGCTATCCTATTTTCAATCTTCTTTTAATCAATAAATATTGCAAGAGAAAGCCTGCCTAGTGGGAATGCAAATTCTGAAGTGGGATTCATGAGCAAGAGCCAACCCCTCTCCTGTTTCTCCTAGGTTGCTCCTAGGTTGTCTCAGCTGCTTGGGCTGGGGATGGAGCCTGGTGCCAGGTCAAGGGGGAGCTGGAATTAAAAACAGCCCCATATAAATGCAGTGAGCTCAGATTTTCTTCTTTTTTTTTTTTTTTCCCTCCCCCCCCTCCTTTGTTTTTCTGGTGACTTTTGACTGCAAGAAGATGGAGGGGCAGAACTTCAAGTTTAATTTCCAGCTAATGCTTCAGTATGCTTCAGTAACTGGATGTAAAACCAAGCACGCTTTGTTCTCCATTCTAGTTCTTGGGATCTTTCTTGTTGTGATTGTGGGGATTTTCTTTCTGAAAGGTAGAGCCTCAAAAATAACAGCGGGTGACATCAGAGGAAGCAACCTAATAGCTCAAAGCACTCCAGACTTCATGTCCAAAGTTAACTCCAACCATGACTCTGAAGGGACTTCTGGAGACCTGGTGGCTTTTTAAAGGGGAAAAAAAAAAGCATATCTGCATTTTCAGATGAAATGTCCTTTCTTATTTTGGTAAGAGACATTAATTATCCTACGATGCTAAAATTATCATCTCTGGGATTTAATATACATGCCTCTCCTTTAAGCTACTATCATATAGATGCATGGAAGAGTGGAGAGACATTTGGGACAGGAATTTCTTTCCATTTTTTGTTTTGCAGAGTGCAGGTCACCAGGAAGACTTTGAGAATCGGGTACTCATGCAGGCTTATTTGGGAGAAGAATTAAAAAAAGGAGAAAAAAATAAGCCACTATTGGCTTCCAGGAGAAGGGAATTCCATCTTGAGAAATATAGACTAAACTGCATCTCCTTTTGAAACAGGTGATGCATCTTGGTTTGACTCTTTTCTCTCTGATTTAATGGTACTTTTTTTTTTCCTTATTTCTAAAGAAAAAAAAAAGGGAAAAGGAAAAAGACTTTCAAATGCAAATGGAAGCCAAAAATCTTTCAGTAGTGAGTGTTCCTGGTCAGGTTCACCAGCTCACTTCATTCACTTATAATGTGTTCAATAGCTCATTAAAGAAGATAAATGAGTTCACTGCTTCTCATAATTTAAAAAAGAGTGTTAAAAG